GAAAAGTTTTATAAATTAATATTTTATTAATCTGAGTCCTGATGTTGTGGTGAGATGTAGTAAAGAAAACCTGACTGGAAGATTCATTTTGCAACTAACTCACTGCAATCTGAAGACATACATGTATTTCTTTGGTATGGTTGGCATACCATATATATATATATATGTGTGTGTATATATATATATGATAAAATATGCTATATATATAATATATATTCATAATATAATATATAATATAACATCTGTTGAAAGGGTATATTCAAAGTAATGCAAAGTAATTCTGTCATTGGACCTGGACCTCCACTCAAGAAAACAGCCTATATGGTTCATATTTGTCTGTGTGATTCAAGCCTCATTTTATAACCTCAGTAAAGACAATTAACAAACCCACAGAAATCTACTCTCTATGGTTTTGAATAAAAGTAGCACTGAAAGGAATTCTCAGTTTGGATTGATCTGAAAATTGGCTGATGGCATAATACCTCAAAAAGCAAAGAGCAGGGGAAGTTTAATAACATGGAAAATTTACTTCTTGTAGGTTATTCCTCAGGATACTGCTGATACTGCCCCAGAAGACGGTGTTTATATCCATGGATTATTTTTAGATGGAGCTCGCTGGGACAGGACAAAGTCAGTAGCCAAGTTTTTTCCTGTGGTTCTGGAAAGCTTTCTTAGATGCTCAAACAAGATTGGCTGAAATATTTTGAGTGATACTTTTCACGTTACTGAAATAACACGCCAAATTAAATACTCTCTCATTCATGGAAAATGGGGAAGAAACAGCCAACAACCAAAAAACACCCACCAAACCCCTCAAGCCACAAATAATTGCTTTGTTGCTTTCTCTCCCCAGGGGAATGTTGACTGAGCAGTATCCCAAAGTGCTCTTTGACGCCATGCCAATCATTTGGATAAAGCCAAGTGAGTATAATTTCTCTGATATGAGCTATTCAACAAGAAATTACAACAGTGGTTTCCTTTTTTACTGAAGATCAGTGTCCTCACCCAAGTACCCAAATGTGCACAGAATTCACGTTCATCTGACCTGGGACTTTCCTGTCAAAAGTGGGGCCTGCTCCCTGGAGTTGGTCCCACCCTGTCTGAGCCCTGGGCCTGTCCCACTCCCCAGAGATATTTAGAATTATGAATTAGATGAAAAGACTAGTTAAATGAATTTTTTGTAAATATGTTCAGTTGCTCCCAATCTATTTTTCAACAAAAAGTTAATTTGGATAGGAAAGCACATGGTACTTGAATTCCTGGCTCTACTCAAGTTGAGGGGAACTTTCAACTGACTTAGAGAGACTCAGTATTTTACCTCGTGTGATTTAGCAAGGTTTGCTCAGGTTATTTTTAGCTGCTATGCCGACTGCCTCTCATGCTAGTAAGTAGTTTTTCACAACTCTTCTTTTCTTTGATCAGGAGTAAATCCCTGTTTTACTTACTCACATAATCACAACTTTCTACTGCAACTGTTAAAACTTAGATGTTGTCAGCAAATAGGCAGTCTTAAAAATTCCCACTTTTTCTGCCTGTGCTTTCTCTTGAGGTTGGATGAATCTGCTCAGACCTGCATGGTTTTAGGCTTTGCACAAGTTCCATGTAAGCAGTCTGGGCATACAAAGAGTTCCTGCAGAGTTCTGTCCTTGGATCTCAGGTGACTTGAATTGCAGTTAGTTCTGTGGCAGCTGGACCAGAATTCTTGTAGAGCTGTTAAAAGCTCATGTACAATCTATGGTTAAACTAGGTAACTATGCAGATTTTAATGTTTCTTTGAGTATTACAATCACAGGAAGGCATTGAATCCTGAAAACAAACTGTGGATAAATTAGTTGCGTTTAAAAAGAAAAGAAACCACACAAGAGAACCCAAAAAAAAAGAAGTGGGATAATTTTATTCTGTTGCTACAAAACAATTTTGCGTTTTTATTTAGCTTTAAAGATGTTACTGAAAATACTTAATATTTGCATGTAGATTATGTTTGTATGAATAGATCTGCTCAATGTAATGGATTACTTTGGGGTTCTTTTGAAGCTCCAAAATCGGACATAAAGGAATCCAATGCCTATGTTTGCCCACTCTACAAGACAAGTGAGCGCAAAGGAGTCTTGTCTACCACTGGTCATTCCACCAACTTCGTCATTGCCTTGAGGCTCGACACGGACAAACCCGTCCAGCACTGGATCAAGAGAGGGGTTGCACTGCTCTGCCAGCTGGATGACTGACTCTGGGCACTCCAGATCCAGACTCCACAGGATCCTGTTCTTTTTGTTGGCTTATACAGGAAGTGGAACACAGTGTGTAAAAGAAACATCTGGAATTTTTTATATTAAGAGGGTTACAAATACTTTCTGATCCTCAATATTTTGTCTTAGTTAAATATGTGTTGTTATTATTAGTGTCTTTACAATCTATAAACAAACAACTAGGATTTCAGCCCTTGGTAATTTTATTATTGTGTGAACATCAGTTTTATGCCTTAGTTAAATATCACAAAATGTATCTTAATGGAATATGAAAGTAGCCTGCACTTTCTGAGAGAAACGTTACAGGCAATAAAGTTGATTCTGCACATTTGTTTTCTTGAAAAATAAAAAAAAAATTACTCAAGCATTCTTTCTAGATTTCCTTTGGCAAGGAACTCTTTCTGCCTTGCATTCAGATACATCATCATTTCTTTGTATGGATCCCTCTGTAAAATACAGTGGGAATAACTCCATCCTGCCATCACTATTACAACTGGGCATCTTATTCCCTCATTTCCATTTGTTGGGTGTTACACCAGTGTAAGTTTGTCTTTCTGAAACTCCTTTTTCTTTTAAAAACTCTGTTTATTTCTCATTTGCTTTTCTATTTATATTACTGTGAATTGTGACTAAGCAATCAGAAACATAATAATTTTAATAGCATTTTGGCTTGATTTTATTTGCTTGTTTGTGTTTACTTTTACTGGTTTGGGTTTTTAAGCTTACCCTTTTAAGTAAGCTCCTAACACTGTCTTCAGTTTTCTCTTTTAGAACAGCACTGAAGAATTTTCTTTTCATAATATAACAGTTACTGCTATAGTTCTCAAATTCTCATTCCAAAAACATGAGAATTTTTATGAGGAAACTGGACTTTTAATTCCTTCTTTTGTTGATACCATTTGTCAGGTCAGATTATTAAACATTACTGGCCTGTGTGAAAGAAACATGGACGAAGTCCCAGCCTGTCTCATGATCGGGTATTTATAGGGAGCTATTAATGGACATGGGCTCTACAGAGATCATTTGCAATCCTGAAAATATCACTTTCAACTTAATAATTACTTCTTCAAAGTGTGAGGTCTTCCCTCTTTCAGAAGGTGAGGAAAAACAGTATATTTTCTCAATTCATAGGAAAATTAGTAGTCAATTTGTGAAAAAGAAGTAGTCTAGACTTAAAATGTTTCTGTACTCACTGTGCCGTAGTATAATCCATTACTAACAGTCTGTATATGTTGCTAATAATATTTCTCTTCTTTGCTACATGTGCTATTACAGAGCAAGGCCTTGCAATCACACATTAGGTGGATCAGGTAACAAATTAAATGCTGCAGGTTTGCTGTGAATTACTGCTGCCCAACTTTAGGATGTTTCTAGAATTACTCCAAACTTTGTAAGTGACATGTTGACAACTTCCTTAATTTTGCTGTGCTCATTCATTTTGCCAATTTGTTTATTTGCTTTCAGTTTTACTTATTTATTTTATTTTATTTTTCCCTGTAGTTTTGAGGGTTTCTTTCAGGCCAGCTGTCTTGGAAGACAGAGGTGGATGTTTTGATAAGGTAAAACAGATGAGAGGTTTGAGCCTAACAGACCATCTGTGATTTTAACCTATAATAGCATGTAGCTGAATATACAGAAGGACAGTGGGACTGCTTAGCAGAGTACATCTACATCCATTATGCTATTTAGTGATCAGTTTGATCGTTAATGATTTTTTATTATTTTTTCTTAAATTTTAACATTTAGACTTAATATAGTACCAGTTGGATTTAATTCTGTGCTCCATTGTTTGTCTTGCAATCTTTAATTGAACCCTTTCAATATGGAGAAGTTTTATGTTGTTTGGATTTTGGGTTTGGTTTTGTTGTTGGATTTTTTTTTTAAATAATGCTATTCTTAAGCTTTTGTGTGTTATTAACTCAATTGTGGTTACACCAGTGTGTTTTATTTCTGCTTGTATTTGGATATATACTGTTGCAGTACTTTGGATATATCACTTAAAAGTATCAGAAGCAAACAGGCATGCATGGATGGAGGCAGAATTGTGAGTTTATCTGTTGTAAAAGGAAGTAGATTTGGTACATAAGGTGGTGAAGTTGGTGTTTTTCCAAGCATGTTTGATGTTGTTTCAGTTGGATGGCTGGTGCACATAATAGCACAAATCTGCAATACTTTCCTGACTACCAGATATTACCCTAACAATGTCTTTGTTGAAACAGTTTGAACAAGAGCTATTATTAAAAAATTTCATGTCCTTCACTTGCCCTTCCCTTCCAGGCCTGCTGTGAACAAACAGGAAAAACATCCTGTGTTTTATTTCACATTTGTTTTCCCACTAAGGAAACGTCAGAGCTTGATTGTGGTGATATTTGAGTGTCTAAATGACTTAAGAGGGAATGGCTGTTTATCTAAAAGCAAAGTTTTGCCTATTTTTGTTGCTTTCTAGGAAGCAACGCCAGAACAAGTAGCTATTCTGTATGTTCAGTCTGTGGAACAGAGAAAAAAGCTGGGACATGCTACAGGAGTAGAAAACTTTTACTCTGTTCTAAATAGAATAATTCTGCAGTGCAAACCTAAACCCCTGGGAGAAGGCTGAAGCTTGAGATGGAAGTTCCAATTCATTTATTTTAAACTGTGTTCATTTCTCTTGATACTGTAACAGTGACTGCTGTTTCTGTTACTTCAGATTGAACCTGAAGATTTAACATCTGCTTCCAATTAAAAAGCAGTGTTTCCCTACACAAAGTGATCCAGGTTGTGCTGGTTTGCCATGTATAATTCTATGTATATGTTTGATGACAATTCTGATGAAGAAATCCCTACCCAACAAGCTATTCAGGAAAGCTTACAAGAGAGGCATAAAATTGAAACAAGTGGCTGTGCAACAGAGGCTGAAAGGTAATAAGTTATTGCTTCTATTTTGGGTTTTGGCATTATTGTAAGCATGTGGTAACCTTTCTTTCCTTTGTGACTCCCTACGTTGGATTGCTCTGACCTTGTCTCGTGGGTACTGGAAACCATTGGTAGCTCACTTGGTCTGAGTTCTCCATGAAAAAGTATTCCTGTTTCCTTGAAAATACGGGAATGTATGAACCTTTCAGATGATGTGTTACATCAATATCTAAAGGAGTACAAGGCTTTATAAAGAAGATAAGTAGGTGATGTAAAATTAGATTAATATGGTAGCTTCCCCTCATCTTAGTATTTAATTTTTTATGTGAAAAATTCAATATTTATGGTGTCAGGGGAAGACCAGCAAAAAACTGTTTTAATGTGATAAACCCTGACAAAATTCATGTAACTTAGAGAAATCTAACATGTAGTCTAGACTTGAGTATTTAAATTAAGGTATAATTATATCCTGAACTTCACATTAATTTTTACTTCTCACTCTATTCTTGTTCTGTTTGTGCAGTTTCCAGTCTACTGCAAGTGAAGAACATGGAAAGATAATTGCAGCAATTCAGACAGTTAAGTATAAATATTCCACACTAAGCCTGTACTCCTGGGAATTGCTGAGCAATGCCTACATTTGAGGTGTTTGATCACCTGATTTAAGTGCAGGTTTTTTTATATAGTCTTGGGAAGAATAAGACAACTAAAACCAGGACATCCAAACTAACTTACTAGATAGGATCATGGTAATGGGATGGGTTCCAGTGTCACCCTTTTCAGAAATTCCAGTGCTTCATCTCCTGAAATTAGGGGAAAATTCCAGGCCTTTCTTTTAAAATAAGCAGTTTTGAAGTATAAATTGATTAGTCAATTTTTCACTTTGCAAGATATGCAGATTAAAAAGCTTTCTCTACCTGCAAAGTGTTCCAATACTGTTCCTTAACTGCAAAACTTTAGTGTATTCCAATATGAGATGCAATATTGCTCATGAGAGGATTGTGCTTGAAATATTTTAATAATGTTATTGTAAGTAAGTTTTTTTCCATGTGTAATTCAAAACGCTTTGGGAGTCAATGTTGATCATTGATTGTTCCATTCATGTAAACTTTCCTCTGAGAAAAAATTGCTCTGACAAAGCAGGTTGTTTATTCCAGATACAATGATGGGATAAATGGCACTCAATGTATTAGTTGCCTGAATTTTGTCTTATGGTTAGTAATGGGATATGTGTCTGTCTTAAAACACCACAGGCCAAGAAGAGGCCTTGAAGAAGTTGGTGAAGCACAGTTCTGCCTTTGAAGAAGCAGATGAGCAAGGCTGGCTTCCTGTGCATGAAGCTGCAGCACAGCTAAATAAGAACATCCTTGAAATAACTATGAAAGGTACAGAGTCCTCCTGGTTTTCCACCAAAAAGTTTTTACAAAAGTGAGTTTAATCAATCACCCATATTCAAATGTGTTCTGCTGTTCTGCATTCCAGCCTCCCATGCCGGTACGTGGGAACAGACCACTCTAAAAGGGGAAACACCTCTGCTGGTGGCAGTAAGGAACTGCTTTGTGGACAACGTCTGCTTGCTCCTGATCAATGGCTGCAATCCCAACGTTAAGAATGAAGAGGGAGATTCTCCTTTACTTATAGGTGAATACCTTATTTAGGGGTGGAGAGGTGAGGGAGTTAGGTGAGATCATACGTACACATTTTAGGGTTTAATTTGACTTATTATTAAAATATTTTGCTATAAGAAGGAAAAATTTTCATCTCAGCATTGAATGTGTCTGCCCTTGTCTGTTTTTCTTAGATGATATCAGGGCTTCAAATAAGTTGTCTGTTCCAAGTTAGGGTCTGTCACCACAAAGTTCTTTACTTTATTTATTAATTGAAGTTTTCCCATAAACATGGAAGTAGGAGAAGTAAAATATCTTTCCATGAAGTCTGATCCATTTTGGAGAGCTCCAGATGCCTACTGTCTTTTATTCCTCAGTTGCAAAGAGTTTGAAGTTCAGGTTGAACATACATTTTTCCCCCAATGAATCAATTAGCTTTCTCCATGAAGTGCAGAGGGTCATCCTCTGCTTTCCTTGGCATCATTTATACAGTGGTGCCAGGCAACCAGGTCCTTCTTCATGCTATTACTGCCCTGCATGTCTGCAGGCATAAAACATTCCTATTCTCTGCCCAACATGGTATTTCTTCCATTGCATCAGCCTCTCTTTCTCCAAAACCCATGATAATGGCTTTTGATTTTCAAAAAGTGAAGCAAACCAGCCTCATTTATCTGCAGTATGGAGAGCACAAAACAGTGTTTGGCCCTCCTTAGACCTTGCTGGCACAAATCCAAGCATACAAGTGAAGAAGCCAAAATTCTCAGTTGAGTTCTCTTTAATGTTTTGTAATTGAGGAATAGGGTCCCATACCCAGGACCACTCTGTGTGGATGCCACTTCAATTGGATCATGCACAAGAACTGTAATTCTTGATTTGCAAAGAACCGAATTTTGCCAAAATGTTTTTCGAAAGTGTACTGTGTTCATTCCATTTACTTCCCTCAGTTTGGGCTATGATGCCATAATTCTTACTGAATCCTAGCCAAAAAAAATGGAAGTGTATTCTCATTATCTGAGTTCCAAAGGAGCACTATAAGTTTCTTGGATTAACCTGTACATTTTTCAGTATTGGAAGAGGGTTTTTTTCAAAACTGTTGTTAAAGAAAAAGAGCCTACCAACCATCTATAGGACCCCCAGTTTATCCCTGTGAAATGGTTGAAGCTTCTAGTCAGGGCCACCTGCTTACAAAAGATGTAGAGAATTCCTAGACATTTTTGAAGTGCACAATATTAAAATGCATCATCCCATAAGATGGGGATGTATGGGATTTATTTAAAGCTGCTGTGTAGGTTCCAGATAATGGCACATCACAGCTCATATCACAGGATGCTGTCAGGGTACTTCAAGCAGCTGTGGCATATGAAGCTTCTCAGCCTAATCTGTCTTGATGAAGGACACTTGCTACCCTGCACAGCCTGGAAGATCAAAGAGAGAAGGAGGGAAAGGTGTTGCTTATTCATTCCATTCCCTGGAGCCAATGCAAATTTCTCTTTTAAGATCCTTACCGACTCAACAGTTCAGGTTTATTAAGCTAAGAAGGTATATGACACAATGATTTTAAACTTTGTTTCATACTGTAGTAACTGCTTATGAAGTTTAAATGGAGCTCTGCTGACAGCTCCTGACTCCACCAAGGCCCTGGATGTGGCCTCCATCTAGTGGTAAGGAAAGCTGTGTTCTGTTCCATCACCAAACACAACAGAGGATTACAGAGAGAGATTACCATAACATGGTTTACTTTTATGGTTAGTGCTGTCCTGGAAGCAAAGAACAGACTTGTTGGTAAGTTAAACCTTTCAGTGTAGGGTGACGTTTCTCAGTGTATAAAGAGCACTGCAGGAACAGCTTTCCTGGGCTGCCACATTGCAGAAGCCACAGTGTGTGGAATAGCATTAATAACATTCTGTCTGATGCTTTGCTTGTTGTGCTACAGCAATTAAACAGGATTCCTATGAGATTGCCTCCTTGTTGATAAGATGTGGTGCCAAAGTGGATTTGCAGTGTGTCCACAAGAGAACTGCTCTACACGAGGCAGCCAGACTGGGCAGGAAGGATCTGGTAGAGCTTCTCCTTCATTCTGGAGCAGATCCTGACCCTCGCAGTGGATATGGGCTCACACCTCTAGCACTGGCTGCACAGATGGGACACACAGAAATTATGGAGCTCTTACTGCAAAAAGGTAAGGTAATATAGGATCTAACAGGGAGAGAAGGCTTAGGGTGGGGGTCTGTCATCAGGGTTATAAATGATGGGATGTAGTAAAGAATGCAGAGCCAGATTCTCCTCAGTGATGCCCAATAACAGGTCAAGAGGCAATGGGCACCAACTGAAACCTGGCAAATTCTGTCTTGGGAGGGTGGCTGAACACTGGGACAGGTCATGCGGATTTGTGGAATCTCCTTCCTTGGAGACACTAAAACCCTGACTGGATGCTGTCCTGGGCAACCTGCTGTTGCTGACCCTGCTTGAGCACAAGGCTGGACTGGACATTCTCCAGAGATCCTTTCCAACCTCAACTACTCTGTGGTTCTGTTTTTAGTAACATGTACCTTCAGTGGTGGTGTTCTTCAAGTGAATAGAAATTGGGAGCCACACATGCAGTACTGAAATGTTTAAAGCCCAAATGGGACAAAGCGAGTCCTCGTCCCAACAGAGAAAAGTATTCCTGAATGCAGAGGCAAAAAATTGTTCTTATCTCAGTACCCGTATACATAGGCTAAAGTATTTAGTCTATTTACATACATTTTTATTAGTCTTCTGCAAGTTCTGTGATTGGATTAAAACTGATTATTGTAAGATATGCCTTTAGAAACAGCAGCAGAAATAACTCGCCTTACTAAAGAATATTAAGTGCTATCTGCACCAAGAGGGTTGTTGTGATGTAGTTAAGTAAAGGCCTGATAAAAATAACATTTTATAAGGTTAAAATAATATATAAATATTTTATTTCACAAATATTTTATATTTGTAATTGTTTTTAAATGCTCTATTGTTTTCTCATGTGGACAGGTCACCTTAGGGAAGGCCTGACAACATTTATTGTGGGGAATTTTACATGGTGGTTCAGCAGCACTGGATTGCATGAACTTTTTGATACTGAATTCTCTCATATTTACAGTTCTATCTGTCTGGTCTTTGTAAAGTAAAAGATTTGAAGAGCATTCTATGTAAGCCAAAAAGCAATTGTTTGGATGAATAAGAACCAAACCACTTGCTGGTCCAGTTCTAGCAGCAATTCTTACCATGTAATTGTATTCAAAGCAATTTGGACCATCTTGTTCCCAGGATTACATAAACACATCTAAAATCAAGGATCCAACATGAAGGTTTGTTCCCACATTGGTTTTATTTGGTGAAGAATAAAATTCCCAATACCCATCACTGGAGGGTTGGAGACATTCATTACGGCTGGGTGTGTACAGTGACTCCTCTGAAAATCCTCACTGCTTCTTTCCAGGTGCAGATGTTCTTTCACAGGCAATGGATTGTGCTTCTGTATTATTTGAAGCAGCAGGAGGAGGAAATCCAGATTCTGTGAGTCTTTTACTAGAATATGGGGCTGATGCCAATGTACCAAAGCACTCGGGTCATTTGCCAATCCACAGAGCTGCATATAGAGGACACTTTCTGTGAGTTAATATACTTAAAAATCAAATAATAATGATACCAGAAATATTAATTTTGCTAATCCTATCTCATTCAAAGCCGGCAGCAAATCTGAAGTTTTGTACAAGGAATTGTTTTTGACTGTGTAAATATACCATTCTATGTCTGAATGTAAGAGACCAGTCAGTATAAAATCACTTTATCCTAAACATTTTAATCCCTGTAGTATTTCCCTACTTGTCACAAATAAGAACACTATCCAGGCTGATGTTGAGGTTCTTGGGATGTCCTCACTCTCTTTTGGTCTGTGTCTCATTTCCATCCTATTGCAGCAAGGTGAATATACCAAATAGGCAAATAAAGTTAGGGAATAAGAGTTATCCTTATTTAAAAGACAGTAAGGTTACTGGAAGATATTTTAGCTAAAATCACAACCAGTAAGTGAGAAACAAAAATCTGAGGATTCTTAATTCCTATGGTAATATTTTAAATGTATTAAGTTACATTTAAACTTAAATGTATATATTCCATTTTAGATTATATCTATTCATGTTAAAATATAGTATATTCTATTAATTACCTAATTCCTACAGGTTAAGCAATAATATTGTGCTCTTGACATTTAGGAAAAGCTTCTATTGAAAAGGAAACCTCTAGCAAGGAATGGGGTTGTTAATGAAATAAATATATATATATATATATATATAAATGGAATATAGATTAGTATTTTTATTCTATTATAGTATAATAGAATAATATTTTATGTATAGCAGGTGTTAAGTCAGTATCCATTGAAATGTAATTGTTAGCAATTCAAGTCAATACTTGTCAAGGTACTGATTTAGTAGATTAAGATGATTTTTACAGTCATGATGAATTCTGAAGTCCAGCAACACAGAGAAATTCCAAGGTGAATTAAGTGAAGCAATATGTTTAAGGACCTGAGATTCTTCTTTTTTTTTTAATTTTTCAGAGCCCTAAAATATTTAGTTCCAGTTACTGATTTTGCTGCCATTAAAGAAAGTGGGATAAGTCCAGTTCACTCAGCAGCAGCGGGAGCACATCCACAGTGCCTTGAGTTTCTCCTCAAGTCTGGGTTTGATGCCAATTTTATGCTGGATCAGCGAGTTCGCAAAGGCTACGATGACCACCGCAAATCAGCCCTGTATTTTGCTGTGTCCAACGGGGATCTCTGTTCCACACGGCTGCTGCTGAACGCCGGAGCCCTGACAAACCAGGATCCCATCAACTGTCTGCAAATCGCCCTGAGGATGGGCAATTACGAGTTAATGAACCTGCTGCTCCGCCACGGGGCCAACGTGAATTACTTCTGCAGAGTGAACACCACGCACTTCCCCTCGGCGCTGCAGTACGCCCTGAAGGACGAGGTCATGCTGAGGATGCTGCTCAACTACGGGTACAACGTGCAGCGCTGCTTCGACTGCCCCGGGGGAAACCACTGCCACTCGCAGTATGTCACTGACGGCTGGACCTCCACTGTCATCAAAGACACGATGGTGAGTGCAGCACACGGCTCCGTGTGCTGTGCTGCTACCAGTATCCCTCCTAAAACTGAATGAAAAGGGACGTAGTGCAGCGTCAGAAAAGGAAGGTTTGAAACTGTAAGGCAGTTTATACATAAAGATAGGAATAGACAGGGCTTTAAAATCGAATAGATGTTGCCATGAGGCCTGCTTCATGGCAGAAAATGATTGCAAACTGTATTTGTGATCTGTGAAAAAATAGCTTATGATATCTAATGACCACTATGGCACTGGTTTTCCAGAGCAGTCTTGTCCATGCCGTGAGAGCAGGGACTTGCAGGCTGGCTCCCTGCCCTGTCCTGTACCGTAACACCAACACTGGAAGGCTGTTCTAAACACCCTGGAGCTGGCAGGATAAGCACTGAGCAGCAGTTAACAAGCCTGGACCAACCTAAAGAGGGACCTGGAGACACCCATCAGTGTCATTGAGTAGCAGTTTGTAAAGTCCATTTGAAACTAATAAACCCTTCTTTAACCTAAAGATAAAGGGCTAAGGGGTGCACTGGGCTGGTGGATCCCCCTGTTCAGCATGCTAGGACAGGAGTCTAAATTCCCCTTAGGTATTTGTAGCACTTTTTTTTAAGCATTTAGGTACCAAATATACAGTTGCTTAAGTTTATTTTTGGATCTAGTACAAAATAAGCATCTCTCAGATTTTCAGATTCTACTGGTGAGGCTTAATGTGACAGCCTCTGAAGCCCCTTGAGTGACAGAACACTCGTTCTGCCTTGGCTTCTCCTCAAGTTATTCAGTTGCTCTTGTCCTGCATAGACAGAAATCATTTGCAGCAGTACTGAATAGTATCCCATTAAACATTCTCTTTCTCTCAGTTCTGTGAAGTGATAACCTTGTCCTGGCTGAAGCACCTGTCTGGGAAGGTAGTGCGAGTGATGTTAGACTACGTTGATCACGTCAAGATCTGCTGGAAGCTTGAAGCAGTTCTCAAAGAACAGAAACTCTGGCCAGACATCCATTTCATTTTAAGTAAGTATCTGTTTACATTTGAAATGAAAACAAGCTGTTTGGGGATTGGGGCCTTTTTGCTGGTAGTCTTTTAATTTGCATTCTCATTTCTAGCAAATCCTCGCTCTCTGAAGCATCTCTGTCGTCTGAAGATCCGGGAATGCATGGGCCGGCTGCGGCTCCGCTGTCCTGTCTTCATGACCTTCCTTCCACTGCCAAACTGCCTGAAAGACTACATACTGTACAAGGAATATGACCTTTATGGACAGGAAAACTTCACAGGAATCTACAACCTCAGCTGTACATAAGTATTAGCTCTATATTTTGAAGGGAATGTTATCATGGATAAGACTGTTGTGCAGCTGCTTTTTTCTTTGGGGATTTTATCTCCTATGTGTATTAAGGAATGCCAGCATTCCCCTCTCACCCCCTGAAGAAACTAGGGAGAACCCCAAAATGTAAGTATTGGTGATCCCATTCTGTGTATCTCCTGGAATATGACCTACCTGAGAGTTGTGGCAACAGTATTTTAAATGCCTACTGTGACATGTTGAGGAAGTGTAAAATGCAGGGCTGCAATCCTTGTGTTACTGCTCAGTTAAACCCTGCTGTATCAGATAACCCTACCCCCACTGCAGGGTTAAACCCAGGGTTTAGTAAAAGGTCAGGGATTTAACTAAAACCAGGAAGGGACGTAGTTCTTTTTTCTCTTGTACTTCCTCTTCTTTTGACAAGAAGTAGTTTTTATTTGTGAGGTTCTACAGTGACCTTCTGAAGAGCAGCTCAAGTAGATTTTTTTTTTTTTTTGGTCACCCTATCAAGCAATCCCACATTCTAGGGAATGTAATGGGATTAAGCTACAGAAACCTCTGCTTATCCCAGCAGCTCGTGTGACATACCAGTGTTTCAACAGGGCAGCACTGCTGAAAGCTGTTAGTTCTGCAGCTCATGCTCAGGGGCTGGTACCTCTCATCCACCATGGACTTTGATTACTCTCTCTCTAGAACTAGGCTTTCCTTTTACAGTGCTGGCCAAAGCCATGCTTGCAATTTTTGGAGTTTCTCTCCACAGAGTTGCAGCTTAAGCTTTCGGAGCACTGTTATTTTAGGAAGTCTGACAGAAGTATTAGGAATACCTATAGCACACCTGTTCTTTCTAGCAGTACTGCAAATGTCAGTTCATATTTTAGAAAAAAAAAGAAGTTCATCAACACATTTGGCATTAGTAGTATTTATTCCTTCATTATCAAGTAAGCATATATTTTTTTTTCTAGTTATACATGCATCTTTATCACGGAAGTTACAGAATTCAAAAGTCTGCTTTTCCCCAGAAAAATCTACAAACCTTATAAAATACAAATTTAACCATAATGTAGTTATGACCCATGGCTTTTTACATGGTGCTTATCATATAGTAACCTACTGAAGCCCGTGAAAGTGAGTCCAGTACCCAGGTTGGTGCTGTGCTGTTCCCATAACACCAGCTCTGCAGGGCCTGTCACTGTCCTGTGTGACAGCCCCACCACAGGCACTGCACAGCCCCTGCCATGGCTCCTCCTCAGCTTCAGTCTTGGATTGTTGCAAAAATAAGTTATCAGCATTCCCGAGTATAACAACTTCCTCTGAGGTTATCTGGCAATATGTATGGAAATGGAGAGAACTGAGCTACACTTGATGACAGAGGGAGATAACTGCATGTTAGAGCTTTGTTTAATGGAAGGGAACACGTCCTGTCACCAGCAATGGTACTTCCTGAAAGTCAGTATTGTGAGAAATGCAGGAGGCTTTTGCATCAGTACAAGTCCCACCCAGAAAGTTACGAGAGTTAAGCTTTTATTTAATCTACAAAATGCTGACTGGAGCCCTGGCACAATAGGGTTACTGTCCATGTTTCCAAGATTAAGACACAACAATCAGAGTTGACATAAATATGCCATTGGTGGTTTTTAATACAGCTATTCAGGGAAAATGTGCAAGTCAGTCTCAAACATTGCAAAAATCACTTACACTTCACCAGAACAGGACCAATCCAGAACATCATTGTAAGAATTTGACCACTCCACTCTATTATAAAAATGACCAGAAAGATTGTACAAAGTCCTTGTCTTGCAATACAAAGTTCATTAGGAATACAAGTGCATTCACAATGACACACTGACTTATTCTTGTCATGACAACTTAGATACCACTGTGGCAAAGGAAAAAAGAAAAGCAACTTAGTGCTTGATTAAAAAGAAAAGCCTTGGAGACTAATTACCTTGCAAGAATTTTTGTAATATAGATCAAGAGAAATAATATAAAATATCAGCTTTTGCTGTCAGACTAGACAATATCTCTATTAAATTCACTAAGCAGTGGCAGGTTTTCTTTCTCTACGTGACTTATTTCTGAAATAACAAGAGACTATATCGTTAACATAGTTCTCTCCATTGGCTCTTCCCAAATTCTGTGCAACTACTTAATCAGAATTTACCTTAAAACATAAACACAGTCAAATTTACCTCTTTATATCAATGTACATAAATTATAGCTTCATAAATCGCTTCAGCTGTTTCAGGATTTTCAGCTCTGAGTTTACATCCATATAAAGAGAAAATCTGACAACTTTATAAGGGGAAATGTTCCTTAACCCTGAAATATTACTTTACTGTTAGATAGCAAATTGTCTTGATACAATTTCAAACCTAAACAGATTAAGGAAGCAAGACTATGACATTCAAATGACTTTACTTGCTTGTAAGCACTTATACATGGTTAAGTCGTACATGACTTTGCCCTTGTGCTCTGCTTTAGACTTGGCCACATCTACCAGAGCCCACAGAGGAGTGCCAGGGATTATCTATAATGCAATAAAATGCACACCCATAAGCACACTTGATATGTTTTATATACATGCCATTACATACATAAAGAATGTATGTAGCTTGAAACAGCTGACAGCAAGACTTGCTTGTTCTGCAGCATGAAAACCTATAGAGTTACAAGGTTAACATCCCCTCACCTAAGGGCTAAAATTGTGGCAGGAACTATGAGGCTGCAATTAGCAACATAACAAGTTAATCCTGAACACCTCTGCCAATCAGTACCTGCACAAAGTCACTTCAAAATCATGGACTTGAAAGAATGTTTTCAGGAGTGACTAAAATAATAGTGGATGCACATGAAGCAAACTACAGCTTCAGGTGGAAGTACCTGTAAGATCAGCCTTTGAGTAAAAGGCAATAGGAAATAATAAACAGGAGAAATAAATTACAGGAGAGGAAATCAACCAGTAATTTAGTCACAATAATAAAATACTCAGGTGGTGAAATCCTACCACAGCAGTTCCCAGCAGAACACAAGGTGTTCCCACTAAAAGTCATGTTCTCAAGGAAAATACTAAGCATTCTGATTTCTTTTTTTAATTAACAAAACTGTTTTCTAATGAAGTAGTTCTAGACCTCATAGAAAGAAAAGGTACCAAATAGTTCTTTATTTTGGGAAGGAGACTGTGGATAATAACTCAGCAGCGATTTTTGCCTTGAGATAATTCTAATTACAGAGCTGTGTGATCCTTCCCTTGGGCAAAGCTCTCACCCCCCTCATAACTCAATGCACCATTCCCATCTGACTTCCTCCCCTCTGCTGACCTTCTTGCTCATTTTATACCAGTGAAACTCCCCTAAATAAGCAAAAAAAATAACCCCCTCATTTCATTCATGAAGATCAATCTGTTTTCTTTAACTACTCTCTTCAATCATGTCCCCTTCTTCTAGTGGTTAAAATGAAAATCATCCAACACAAGTGCAATGCACCTCACTCCTATGCTGTCTGTTTTAGAAAACTAACAGCAATGGGAAACTACATTTCAGGCAACGGAAAGCCTGAAAATCAAATGGAATAATTCCAATCATGTATTGCTGAATCTGAAAAATCCCATACGGTGGTGAATTCACCTGCCACTTTATTTGCTTTTCTTCCTCATCTTTGCAGATTTAGATCTAAAATTGTAATAGTAGGTTTCAAGAAAAAATACAGTAATTCCATTTTCTGACATTTCTTCAATAAGGCTAATGCAGAACAGGCTACACATCAGAAATGCTCTGTCATGAGACTGCTCATCTATTACCTGTCCTCCCTCTGGAGCCTGGGCTACTGCAGCTCAAGTGCTTAACACAATCCTTCCCTGACCAGATGAGGACTGGCTTCTAGACACTGGAGATCACTGATTTCATAGTCTTCCTGTGCTGTTTCTAAACTACTTCATCTTCAGCATGTACTTGAGAAAGATACAAGTCATAGCAGCAACCTTGAGCTGCCCTGTGATATTATTTGATAGAAAACAGAAATATCAGTAAATAAAAACAAACGAAACCCCCAAACTAATGAAACATGAACCGGAATAATTTGGAGAGACAAACTGGCTGCACTGCACTCTCTCTAAGCCTTGATTTATGCCCAAAATGGGAAAAATTTGGATTTGCAGCCTCTGTACATTTTTGTAGGGAAGAATTAATATAGTCTCTTAAGGATACTAGATACGAAATAAAAATGCCACTCTCTTAAAAGAAGCCTCAGACTGGTGTGGTCCATGTGACTGTGTGGTAGCCAAATCTGGCCACAGGGCAATACCATTTGGCCTCACTGGGCAACAGCCAAAGCAGGTATTTCTGCAAGTGTCTGGCTGCTCTGGGGCTGAAAAATGCGCTGGAACAGGGCCTGGGAATTAACTTGGGAAGGGAACCTGGAGGCTCTTTGCTGCTCAGCTTCCCCCTCAAGCCAGGGGTGCTGTGACCCCTGTACTGTCACAGGTACTGGGACCCCTTCGGTGACTGCTCCAGCCCCTCCCTGGGCTGTGGTGCCACCAACATCTGCCGGGAGCTGCTCCAACTCCTGCTTGTCTGCTCGTCCTGCTGCAAGGACAGGCACTGCCGCCCTTCTCTCCTGTCTCAGGAGTGATGAGTGAACTCCTGCACACACAGTCACAGCTCCAGCACCAAGGGCAGGAGGAGCTGCTTTAGCCAGTGCAGGGCACTCCAGTGTGCAAGGAGAGCCCTCTGTGCACCTACAGATGTGACCTGAGATTCCTCACTGACTTCATCAGCACTGAGCAGCTCCAGCTATGAAGGGCTGGGCCATCACCAGCTGCTGAGGAGATACTCTGAAAATTGCTTCCATTCCTGAACACCAGAAATGCCCTGCAATGAACTGTAAACCATTCATAACTGTTATATTATAACTTGGACTATAAGTATATTCTTCTCTCTCTACATATCCTGTTATCTTCATGCCACTATTAGAGAGCTATCTATCTTCTGTTCCACTGGATTTTAATATTTATAGTAATTAGTGCAAAAATAAATATTTCTCTTCAAACAAGTTTTCTCTTCTGGATCAAAAGGTGAATGCACATCTAATACTATACAAAATAAATATTACACAGGGTATGGAATATGGAGTGCAGATTACAAGCTGTAAACAGACACTGCTTTGAAAAATGCTTTCCAGGATTGACTCTGGGATGTAGGATTAGCATCGTCTCTTACTTCAGAAATGGCAAATTCTGTTTGCAAAATCACTTTTTATAGAAAGACTTACAGAGCCATAACTCCTTTGCAGTAGATGTAGTGTACTGGCATCAATGCATTTACATAGGCCGGAGATTTTTCAAATGATGGAATTCCAAATGTTCTTGCAACTCTAAGCATGTTTTATAAAAGTGAACTCAAAGGCTTACAGCTCTTTATTCCAAGTACTGGGGAAAAACCAAGAACATGGCACTTGTGCTACAAGGCTATATACATTACTTCTATAATTTGATGAGGAATGCTTTTCCTCATGCAGCAAAGTTCAACTGCATCTCATCAGCTCTTATCTAGGTCTGACAGTATCTTTTTCTCCTGCTGAAAGAAGTCTTTCAGCATTATATTCACTCCAAAGAGACCCCAATGCAATATCATACAGTGCAAAACGAAACAAAAACGATCCTTCTGTCTAGAACTATTGCACATCTCACTGATGTTAATAAGGATTTTTCTTTCTAAATCTAAGAACAGTTATGTGCAACAAATTGGGTAAAGCTTAGCACTGTCTTATTTGGACATTCACTTCTGTTTCCAGCAAGGTGTTCTCCATAGTGCAGTGTATAGAACGAGTTTCATGTACTGCTGAAGCCCAAGGGGAGTTTTAAGTTTTGCTTCAAAAGCAGTTAATTGCACAGAGAAGTAAGTGGGGAAAAAAACCCACATTTTTTTTCCATACTGCAGAGAAGCCTTGAGAAAACATAAATTTGTAATAAACATGGCAGCATCACCATGTTTCATCTGGCATACGGAAGAGAAATTATACTGACAGGAAAATGGAAATCACTTAACTGAGAAATAAAAATCAAGGCATAATAGGGTCTATATATTGAGAAGTCTTTTCTATAATACAACAGACCCACCACCTACATTTCACTTCTTGTAGAACTTGTGCCTTTTCACCAGATATATCCATGATTCCAATTTCAATGAAGTGGGCAGCCTTAGGCTTCGGATTCTCTCTTCTTCTTTCCATCTTCTCCTAAATCACTGTCTTCCGACTGGCTACTGCTCAGGACTACAAACTGTCCTTCTCCACTGCTCTGGTTGGATCTGCTGGAAGCAGCTATCAACCGGCTCTGCTCCTCCAAGTCCTAATGTGAGGAGAGGGGTTGGGAAATCAGAACAAGAATATTACCCTTAAAGCCATCTGGAATCGACAGAAGGATACCATTATTATGATTTCTAAACTATCAGTGGACAGCTTTGTACAGAAGGAATGAAAAGACTGAATAGGAAACCAAAACATTCACCTTTCAGTAGCTGCACTATTAGAACAGCTCCCAGGTTAACACAGCTGCACCCACAGCCCACAGGGCACAGCAGGCCAGAACAACCATCCTCAGCTACACTGAGAAAGGCAATGGAGCTGGGAAGGGGCTGCAGCACAAGTCTGGTGAGAAACACCTGAAGGAATTGGGGTTACTTAGCCTGGAGAAAAGGAGGCTCGGGTGGGACCTTCTCACTCTCTACAACTGCCTGAAAGGAGGGTGGAGAGCAGTCTCTTCTCCCACGTAACAAGCAATACAATAAGAGGAAATGGCCTTAAGTTGCACCAGGGGAGGTTTAAATTGGATATTAGAGAAAATTTCTTCACCAAAAGCCCTGTCAAGCACTGGAACGGGCTGTCCAGGGCCATGCTGGAATCACCATCCCTGGAGGAGTTTAAAAGTCATGTAGATGTGGCACTAAGGGACATGGGTTAGTGGTGGCTTGGCAGTGCTGGGTTAATGGTTGGCCTTGGTGATCTTAAAGATCTTTTCCAACCTTAGTGATTCTGTGATTCTTGAGCCCATTTCCTCCCTGTGTGACTGAACCCTCGTCAGCAAATGAAACTATTTTGTGTCTGTGATAGGTGTTCCTTCAAGCCCTGCTCTTAAGTATTCTCATAAAGATGTTTTGTCATGCATATCCTCAAGGAGCTCTTTTTAAAAACTACTATACAAAAATATACAAAATCTGCACAGGAAACACTTATGATAATTAACTTCATAATGCTCTATGAACCTGTACTGAAGGGTATGATAGTGGAGCATGGAGTAAAAACTGCAAAAGAAAGGAAACAGAAAAAACCTAATGTTAAGAAATAATGATGAAACTTACCTTTTCAATTTGCTTTTGTTTATTCAGTTCTTTTTGTTGTTTCTCTTTGACTCTCTCGATTTCTTTCTGCTTTTCTGTTGCTTTTCGATCCTGAAGGGCAAAAATGTAAATAAAGTAAGTAACAACTTGACACATTCGATACAGTACTGATTGCTATGAGCTTGCTCAAGACTGTGACATCACTGTTTCGATTATTCTTCTTTTAAAGGACTGGTATGGCTGTTAAAGGTAGCAAGCTAAATCCTATATTGAATATTGTCCCACAGTAGACATTGGTTAGTCTTTTTATTTGAGTTTAAATCCTAGGAAACAAGTCCCTTGCACTACACAACAGTATTAGTGCATCTGTAAGTATCTTGCAGAATGTGTTCTATTACACATATTAAATGTGCCCTCTTCCTTCCATTCACAAGTATACAGAAGAGGAAAAGATTCTTACCAGTTCTGCATGGAAAGCTATCTGTTTGGCCAGTCCAACAGAGTCACAAATCTAAACACAAAACACATAGGAAATAATAAAAAAAGGCTAATCAAAATGCCTCTACAATTAAGCCAGCATCCCCAATTAGATATAACAACACATTAAAGCACTTCCAGGTAGTTAAACTGAGAGGTTTAACTGTTTTTCAGTAAATTAACAAACAAGCCCTTAGACAGCTTGAATGGATCTAACATCTTGGAATCCACGTCAGATTCAAAACTGATACAAGTTATAACCATCAGCAATACCTTTTCCCCTTCATTATTTGATTCAAATATATAGCAGATGGAAGTCTGGCGGCTCTCAGCTCTCCCTCCCGAGGTTCTAAGCACAAATCCAAACAGGCGTTTATTCTCCTGGTGTGTAGCATAGAGAACTACACTGGGCAAAGGGAACTGCCAAGAGGATCAAATGTGGAGAGATTAAAACTGGGTCCAAATATTTTCCAGATGAGGTTTCATGTTAATTATCTTCACTATCATAAATGCACAATCACAGCACAAGAAGTTACAACCTGACCAAACATGTAACTACGGAACACAAACAGGAGATGAGACAGCAAAGGATTAAATTACTCAAAAGACAGGCAAACTTCTAAAAACATACTCCATGTAAGAAATGGGGACCACATTTGCAATGCAAGTCAGTCATCTTCCTAAATGTGGTACATTCCTTTTTTTATTTTCTTTTAATCATTCATACTAGTTACATTTGGGACTAAGCTTCCAATATTTAGTGCCAGGCAAAGGCACTACTTCCCCAAAACCTGCCAGTAGCTCAGCTCTCCTGAACTATGCTGAATTAAGCAAAACAAAACAAAACAAAACAAAACAAAAAAAAAAAAAAGGAAAGAAAAACCCCAAACCAAACAAACCACATCCCCTCGTCACTTTGTTACATGAAAACTATTTTGCATTCCTATTCCTAAAAGAGAGTGGACTTCAAATGTATCTTTTTAAGACTTACCAAAGGATAAATTTTAGAATTCTGAAAGCCCCTACTCCAGCTGTTATAAACTGATAGGACCAGTTTTTCCTAACCTTAGATGTTTGCATTTAGCACAGGGGATGTGCCCTCAGTCGATGTATCTCACCTCATCTCTTAAGATGAGATTACAGCTTTGGGGCACTTTTGAACTTAAAGTCACAAAGGTAAAGAAAGAAAAAAGTCCTACTTGAAACATCAAGACATTTTCGTGTCCTTAAAATTTCCTTTCATGGAAATTAAAGTCATTCAGAGGCTCCAAAAAAATGGAATGTTTTCAAAAATGCAAAGAAATTAAATGACAGACCATAAATTGTGCATAAAGAGGGGGAGGGGGAACAGTTTTGAAATATGAAAAATAAAGACTGCTATTACTGAAGAATTAAGCTGGCCTTATTTGATACCCTGACAAGAATTCCACTTATTCCTTTCAAGTGCATTTTTATAATGCATTAGAAAAAAAAAGAGACCAAACCAGAAACCATTCAACACCCTCAATGTAGTTATGCATTACAACCAAAAACCCCAAACAAAACAAAACAAAACACCAGACAAACCCTTTTGGACTTCAGAACTAATGTGACTCCAACCTTTATGTTCTCTCTTTACTATTTTACCCTCTCAGATCACGGGGGGAAGGGGTTTCAAAAGCCAAACTGACCTACTGAAATCACTCTCCTTAAATCCGATTAGCAAGTGTTTTTCTCTCTATTTTTACATGTCTGCATTAGTCTCCTAATTTCAGTGGAAATTTGGCTGGAAATCTCATGCTATCAGTGATTTTTGCTATCATGTAATAATATTTTTAAAGTAGAAGAATTACATTGCTGGGTATTAATCTTAAAATGTAAAGTTACTTACTCGTAGTCTTGTAACTTGTGTCTGTGGATCAATTAACCTAAAAATTTGGTTTTAAAGACAAACCAGAAAGTAAATTTTACCAAAGTGAAAGAAGATCATTCTGTAAATAAACATGAGTAGAAGTCAGGAAGCAAAACTTACTTTAAACAGTCACAGGTGACTAACAAATGTGATTCTGTCATCCTGAAAACATTGTGGATGGCACGAGCTGCAAGGATTTGACGCATTGTTTCATAAACAACATCTGGGCTTTCATCAGACTTCACTTCCATGGAGCCAAGAAATCTTACAATAAATAACTGATGAAGAATTGAATCTAAGGAAAAAGAAAAGTACTGAAAAAAGCAAACTCCATTTTGGGTTTTCCCTTCAAAACCCAAGCTGGACTGCAGTCAGGGAAACTCCAAACTTCTCCTAAAAAGAGGAGTGCTCATACTCAGCAATTAGAGGTACAGTTACCAAACAGCACACCACACATCTTCTCATTTGGTTTAATGAATACAAAAGATGCAATGAATTATTTTTACAACAGATTTTCAGACAGTATAATGATTTCGCTCGACTGGTCAAATACATTGCAATGTAACTAAACATTCTAAAATTGGTGTTAAATTAGAAGAGAGAAACTAGAGATGAAAACAGACAATTAATTTCAAATTCTATTTTTATTTTGCTGTGAAATAAAACTGTTGTTTTACCTTCTGTTTCAGATTTTGAGCCTCCAGATTCACCAAAAGGATTTGTGCGTCTATTAAAAAATGAAAACATTAAACCAGGAGTCAGATTACAGGAACCACTCATGGATAATGTAGTAGTCTCATGCTGTGTCAAACACCAACATGTAATGATTTCAGAAACTTGTAATCTGGAGGAATATGAATCTGGAGTGTGGTGAATCACCAGAACAGGCAATTTAATCAGGAGTGAGCCATAAACTGCTGTATTTGAGGGCCCACATTATGGAACAAATATCAGATATTGTTGTCCTGTTGCTGCCATAGAAAGTTTTGCTCACATGGTATTTTTTTTTATATTTGAATTAAGCCCAAATCAAAACCTTGTTAATATTTGGAAAGGTGTAGTTTTAGGGGATGAAATTTCACAGAACAGCTTGAGGAAGCACAACCAAAAGCTGGTCCTTTCAGAACTCTGTAGGAGCACCCACTTCTCATCACTGTCTCAAGGTGTTGAATTTCTTACTGAAGAGAAGTCACTGGGTTTGTTTCAAATGCAGCTTTCTGAAAACATCACTGGGGTTTTACTCCTAGAGGGTCAAGAGAAATGTGGCTATTTCTGGCTCTCAAAGACAGAATTGCCATCGGTTACAAAGAAAAGTGAAAATACTCTAGGCTTCCAAGTTTCATTTTTCAAAAGCACTAAAGTAATGCTGAAAAGAGCACAGGAAATGGGGACATTTTATTTATTGTAAAGAGGATATCATCCTTTTTCTTTGCCTAAATGATAGCTCAAAAGCTATTGGCAAGGGTTCAATAAACTTCAAATTAGGTTTTATCTGGGAGTAATGAAGGTGTGACCTCTCAATAGTGTTCTAACCATAAATTCCAGAACTAAGAGAAAAAAAATGTTCTAAATAGAACTCTGAAGTCAAGGTGTTGCTACAATGTTTAGATAACATGGATTCAATCAAGAACCTTCCCATTAAATTGACTTGGGTAAATACACTAAAGGCAAAATCTTTCTATAAGGATCTTCTACCACTCAGATTTTTCTTGTCATTTAAGATTAAACTGCAATAGTAAAAGCAAAATCTCACAGGATCTCTCAAAAGGCAAAAATAAAATGTGAATACTTGTCATCAGTATTAGAAATGAAGGAAAGTATTTTTATTTTTTTAATAATTAATATTTCTAAAGTAGCATGTTGCCTATCTGTACAAACACTGCAGTGTTTCATTGAAAGTGGTGGTTAATTGAAAATGCTGAGTACAACTCTATCATTTCTGCTACAAAAAACATGGTTTTCTAGAAAGAATTGTAACTGATGACATGAACATATAATTTTAACTCATGTCATTCAAGTTTCAAGTATTTTTCTAGAGGGCAGGGAATATAACACATTATAGTGACTAGAATCTCATTTCAGCTCTTTGGCATTTTTTTGTTGTTGTTAAGAGCAGCTGGATCTGCAAACACATTTTCTTAATATCTGAATTTTGTAGATATAGTTCCAGAAATGTAGTGCAGATTTACAGGTCTTACGTTTGTAATAAATCTCCCACTCAAAAATAATTACAAGTGGAGAAACTGCGCTTATGTTTTGGGATGAATTCTTAGATAATTTTAACTTGTCTGTCTATGAAATCACTCCAGAAGCCTAGATCATTTTCACTCACCTTTCAGGTTAAGAGGAGTGTCATCGTATGGCATCATCACCTGGAGGCAGGGCTACCAAATTTCTCTTGAGTTTCCAAGAGGAAATAACCCAAGCTGCTGGGTGAGCAAGCAATAGGAAAGGAAAATACTTTGTAAAACCGAAAGATTAAAATAAATCAATAAATAAAAGCATTGGCTGTTAAGGCAAGAAAAGCTGCTGCAAACCAGAAAACTACACCTTGACTCTAGTGCATGTAATTAAGCCTTTTTTAACAATTCCATTTAACAATTAAATGAATTGTTTTGCTTCACTGGCCACTGCACATTTTGTGACTTGAGTCAGGGAGAAGGCAATGTGTGTTTTGGAGCTGCAGTTTAAACATGGTTTTCTTGTTTTGAATTAGTAACATTAACTTCAGGAATTTTTTCCTTCTCTCTCCATTTCCTACCTGCTCGATTGCCCTGAAGACTTTGCTTGGCCAGGCAGATCTTCACTAACTGGAGATATTATGTCAAACTGTATAGGTGTGTCAGGGGCAACAAGTGAATCCAAGGAAAGTGCTGATAAAGCTGCTGAGTCAGATCCCAGTGACCCTGTGCTGCTGGTACGAGCTGCAGGAGGACGAGATTGTCTACAACAAAACCATCAAAATGAGGGATAGTTAAACCACAGAGGATGCAATATTCTAGAACTTAGATGTAAAACAAAACAAAAACTAAAAACCTGAAGATCAGGGTACAGTAAACAGAAACAGAGTCTATGTTCCTATCAATGTAAGTTAAAGTTACTACTTGCATTAATAATCGCATCAGATTGTTTTAACATTAATATATAATCAATACAATCTGAGGTCTGCTTCCAGGAGTCAAAAGCTCTCCTTCTGAAATCACACAACAAACCAGACATATGGTGCAACCACCAAAGGTGTCAGCCAGTGGCATCAGGACTGCTTGGAACAATGGATACTGAACAATATTAGGAAGGTGAGTGTGGGAAATCCTCCTCAAGCCTATCAAGGATTTAGTTCTGAACACAGAAACTTCTGTGGGTTTGTTTGGGTATCTTTTTCCCCCTGGAACTTTATCCAGGATTCTCTTTATAGATGTGCTCTTCCAATGACCCCTAGTTCATGAACTTACACAGCTGGCCTCATGCTCTCATGCCTCTGCTGAAAGGAGGGAGATGGAGTGACAGCCTCCAGGGCTGACTGATTGACACGAGCAGCCATTTCCTGCAGGGCAGAGACAGGAAAAAATAACTGAAAACATTTGTCTCAAAATAAGCTTTCAGATTTTAGTTTTATTTATATGCTGTTGACAGAAGTTATAAACTCAACCCTTTGCAAGAATCTTGCATTCCTAAATTTTCACTACACAGCTGCAGTATTTTCTTCTAGCTTTTCTTGTAACACATATCCTGATGTTAACTTCCTCAATTTAAGTGAATGCTCTTGCTTTACAATTCTGTCACTGTTAATAAAAGCAATAGCAAAAATAGAGGGAAAATAGAGAAAATGAGAGAAAAGTCCCACTAATAAGCCTGGAAAAATAAGCAAATGTAGCCAGGGAAAAAAAAGAAAAATCTCATTTGAGAAATGCAGCCCTCAACTGCAAACTAAACCCCATGAAGATTAAAAACTATCAATTAGGAACTACGTAACTAATTCTGATCAATATTTAATGCTGATGCCTTCACTTCCTGGGGTAGAGCCAATAGAGAAAGTCCTTGAGGAAAGGATTTTTGGAGAGAGAAAGTGCAGGAGACAACAGTGAAGCAATATTTTGGGGAGTGTGTGACTCAGAAAATGAGAATGGCTATGAAGACATTGGGAAGTGAGGAGAAGGTGTGAACACACACATCCCTTCACTGATATGAGGGGACTGAACCCCTTTATGCCAGGACTAAACAGAACCTCAGCTCTACCTTCAACAGAAATGTGCTCTACCTTCATCAGAAATGAGCTCTGCACTCCAACTGATTTGCTTCCCATCTCTACAGTGAACTTAAACAGCCAGGTACTTGTATTATCTAAAAAGTTATATTTATTTTCAAAATCAAAACCTGGAGTGACACACTCCATTTCAGCCTGGAAGATCAGGGTTTTTTCTACAAAATTTTTATGCTTATAAGATTCATACTCATAAAATTGTCACTTCCCTCTAGTAGAAATTAAATGTATCCATTTGAACATTTGTGATACTGTTTTTTAAAAGAGTGTCATATACAAATACAGGATCTTGAAGATGTCAAAAGGCTACACCAAATATAAAGGTCATGTATTTTTAATGCTTTCCATATAAGCATTTAGATGAAGGAGACAATGGACTCCATGCATTAATACCATGAAAAGCTTCATGAAAAGTAAGAAGTACTTGGCTTAATTCTATGCTATTAATTTTACATAATTACTTCTTAACATATTACTGATAACTATAAGTTTTAATAGTTACCTCAGGGTTTTCACTTAGATATATCTGTTTAGATATGTTGTTTATGGTGCATATCCACTGAAAAAGAGGGAGAAAAAAGAAAATAAATGAATTTGTCATGTTTTTTTAACAAACTTGATTAAATCCCTGAGTTGGCTAGTTTCAGCACTTTTTCTACTTTCTTTGTAATCTCAGGGAGCCAAATATTCTGCACATCCAGCTTGCCATTAAATTAACTACCATCTGCATACTGCACCTTACCTTACACCTTTCTTACCTGAAGAAATTATTTTAGTCACCTTAAAGATCAAAACTAAAGAAAGCCTAACTCACAACTCTAATTAAAAAAAAAAAAAATCAGGATTCTCTGTACTTCATTATTCTGTTCTGCAGACGACATTGTTTCCTCAAGACATTACAAAGATTCAATCTGACTTTTGAGGAACTTGCCCATTTCTTGCATCCACAAGCTGCAATCTGTTTTCTCACTCTGCTCTGGAAAACCACTGGCTCCTGTTTCTGGCTTTTCAACTTTTCCCTGAAGGAGAACACTAACTGGAATATGTGCAGTGTCCAACTGTGGTTTACAAATGCATTCCTTCTGCACACCAGAAACTCACTGGGCTCCATGTGAACCTCCTATGAGCTTACCTCTTCATAATCCTTTTTACTTTCTGCCTGTAAGATTGAAGACCTGAAAGAGGAGAATGGAAAAGATAATTCTGTCTATTTAAAATGCCTCATAAGTACATTCAGCAAGGAAACTATAATTTCATCTTTGTACACTGAACAAGTTACAAAAGGCTCAAGATTCTGTGTATGTGCTGAGTGCACTCAGCATCTAATTGGGGAAGGGAGGGACCTGTGCTTTCATTTAATTGAAAACAGAAAAAGAACAAAGTTCTAATTGTGCCCATGTAATACTTCAGTACTCTAAAAATGCAATAATACATGATTGTAAATTGATTATCATAATCTTATTCTGAAATACTCCTCAGCTACATTATAGATCTTACAAACAAAAATCCAGACTTCATGAAGTTAAAACATCTCAGATTTTGCTTCTAAATATCCACAAAATATATCAAGCTATAATCTGCCCAGAGGCAGACCATCTTTCTTTTCTTAATTGGTGAGTCCAGCATTACTCACAGGTAACAGCAGTGTCAGACCACTCACTTTTTGCCATCAAAAGATGTAATCTGGAAGCAATACCGTCTGTCCTCACAGTCCACAGCCATCACAGAGCAGTTGTCTATGTCCATGACAAGTCCCCCAGCTACGTCCCCTCTGGCCTGGCTCATCAGATTTCCACCTTGGGTGAAGTAAAACTGTCTCTCCCAGCTAGAAGATACCAGCCCTGTCTTACTAAAAGATAAAAAGAGGTCCAGTTAGAGGATTAGGAGCTCAGCTGAGTTGGAAGTCACTTGGAATAAACCATTCCCCATTTCATGTTTTAGGTCAGTGTTACATCTAAATTAAGCTCTCTCCAACTGTTGTTTTTTTCATGTTAAACCTATTGCTGGGCAAAGAACGTATAAAATAATAAGAATTGCTTTCTTAAATTATGTGAAACAATTTAGAATAAAAAGGCATAAGTACTTCAGTTTTGATGAACAGCTTTCACAGCACTGCTTTACACAATAAGCATATTGAAATTCTGTGCATTACCAACAGGACCTCTGAACTCTGCACTTACATTGCTAAGACTAAGTTTTGAAGAACTTTGTGTTAAGAACCAGCTTAGTCATGCAAGATACCTCCATTTTCCAAGTATTTCGTACCATTCAACAAGATTTCCAAAATTTTGCTTAGAGCTGAGAGATGGAATCTTGTTACTTTCCCATTACAATGCAGGCAAATTATATTCTCATAAACTTTTTATGTTTTCATGTGACAATTCAGGCAAGATTAGGCTAAAATGGGGATAAGTATGCTTTGTATCCAAATGACACTATGTCAGTGTAACAATGAATTTAATACTAATTAGGTGAAGAAGTCCAAAGAAAGAAACAGAATAGCTCCTATGGGACTTAATTAACTAAGTATGTAAAATCAGCATAGCTAACATCAGCAAAAAAACTCTTCAGCTTTTTTAGCTTTCCTTTCCCAAAATTAAATATTCTGGAATTTTTAATTGACAAGTTAGTCTTACTTTCTTGCATTGAGATAGCCAGCTTTCCGTGTCAGATTTCTATGAACAGGAAATTTTGTAGGATCAGGATCAGGCAAATACAGTGGATCACTCGCCACTTCCAAGTCCTCTATGGTTTGCTGCATGTTTTCTACTTCACAGTCCATTTCCCTGCGAACACTAAGATAAATAATGTGTTACTAACAAGGATAATTTATTAATAAGTAGAAACAGAAAAAATAATTGTCTTGATCAAAATTCAAAATTCAACAAAAACAACTTACTTTTGTACACTTGTGCCAATATTGGTCAAAAATTCTTCCAGTTGCTCAGTAAGATTTTCTGAACCCATTTTAAAAAAGCTTATCTTTAAAAAAAAAAAAAAGGAGAATTTAATAATTAATAAAACTACATTAACAATTGATGAAGTCATAGGAGCTTAAAGTTTCTCAGAGAAATGTATTTTCATCTCTCATTCCCAACAAAGCTAAATTGAGTTTAGCCATAAGAAATCTCAGAACAGGAAGCCACAGGGGATGGCCCTGCCCTTCCCATTCTTAGATCCAGCAAAAAGCTGCACCTGAACAATAGGTTGCACCACCTACTTTGTTGCACAAAACATGCAGAGCTTGGTTCTTAAATACAAGCTGCAAAGTCTGAAAAAGAAGCAGCAGTCCTTGCCTTTGGAAAGCTTTCAGACAGGGTGAGAAGTTAATTTCTGCTCAGGTCACTGTGGCAGTGCCAGATGCTGGGAAGTTTGGCTTCTAAAAAAACCCATATTTGATGACACACTTCTGAAAATACAAATTAAGTCTCTCCAAAGAACTTTATCATGGTTGTATTTTCTGTTGCACCTGTCCCCAAATAAACCAATAATGAACTTATTTATATAAAGCAAAAACAAGCCAGAATGCTTTTTAGCATTCCAGTTCTTCCACACCCTTGATTGAAAATGGTAGTGAGGTGACTTTTGATGATTAAGTCATTTTAGAATAGCTGCCATGGGAGTGAGTTTAACTGAGGAGGTTCACTTCCATGGGGACTCTCCTGCATGAAAGCTCTAATCAGCTCATCCCATTAGGAGAATCAAGTACACAGCAATGAAATTTAGGCAGAGTATCAAACTCAGCCATCTGGGGTTTGGGGTAGAATTAACCTTTATATTTGTCACCCAGACTTTACTAAAAGATTCTCTGATGGGAGTGAGGGCATATCATGATGGGATTCATGATTAGTGCTGGCTGAAGACACTGGTCCTGGCAGCAGCTGTGGCAGCTACAAGGAAGTGGATGGGGTAGGTCTTTTTCTCCATTTTCTTCCTTGCAGGGCAGTACAAAATCTTGCAATGGATTTCAGTACATCAACCTTCATGAAGTACTTTTACATCTTCTTTGAGACTTACAGGTTTCAGAATCTGAAATTACCTGAGCTTGCATGTATCCTAGCAAGGGTTCCAGCAGAGAAATTTTCTTTTTGTACTGGAGAGTATTTAATGCACAGAAATAATGCATCATAGTCTGATGCTGTTTTTTCCTGGAAGTATATACATCTTCTGTAACTTCAGCCTTGATCTGAAGAGCCACAGACAGGGGAGGGGAAAAAAGTAATGTTTGAGACTTGGCATTGATCACATGCCTTCTGAACAGCTTTATAGACAGCATGGAAAAACAACAGTCATGTTCTACCCTCTATCACCAGCAACTGCATATTTTACTCTGCAATTCTGCTTCTGTAATTTATAGATGAGATACATGAAAAACAAATACAGCATTCTTTTCTCCATGAAAAGTATGGTTATTTCTTTTCAAAAACAAATTGAATATGGCATCACAATTTTAACCCTAAAGCATTATCAGTTTTACAAGACAGGTATGTGTTGGGGAAACCTGCTTTTCTGTCCAGGCTGCTAAAACATAAACTATCAAATGTCAGGTGGAATCTGCTATACACTGTCTTGCATCACAAATACATATAAGATTAAAATTATTTCTTATCTCCTCTAAAAATCTTTATATTAAGTATTTTCTTTTACAAACCTTTTCATTTTCCCTTCTTTTTGACAACCGACTGTATCTGGTAATGGCAGCATCGTGGTCTGCAATCAGGAGAGAATTTATGATCATTTGGATAAACTAATGACTTATGAAACAGAGCAGAAATCTTTTTATATCACTGTGTAAGACAGACAGATGCCTGCAAAGTTCTGTCATATTAACACCTTAAGGAGCTGTTCTTCTCTGTTTATAATCCTTTCACTGCTATGAATACCTGGGCTGAGGAAAGATTCCAACCAGACACGAACGTCGCCAAATTGTTACAAACTGCCCTAAACATCTACTCTTCCTCAAAGACACACTTTTTCTGTAAGTAGAGACAACTTTACATTATGAAAACCTGTACTGCTGCTAATGTAATGAAGCAATTTACAGTGAGACAAATATAATCTTTACTTAAATAATAAGTTCTCTACAAGGATATAGTAGAACTGAAAAAATAACTTCTGACAATAGGGAAGAGAACTATCAAACTCATTTTAGGGAGGTAAAGTTTGTTTATTTATACAGTTCTGACTTTAGTAAGTGAGCTAGCACTTTACTATTTTTAGTAATTTTGGTAGCATAACCCTACATTATTTAATAATCATATATACAGTTTAAGTATTGTAAAAAACACTGTCAATTTGCCTTAATGCTTCAGTGCACGAAGCAGGGATTTACAAGTGAACTAAGGACAGCTGAGTGCCTAAGTATCACTGAAACAAATTACACCTTAATTAGTCACCTTAAGCCTACAGGCTTAACTCCACTAGTTTTCTGAATAAGCAATCTACAATACTGTTGTCTAGTAATATCTATAAGATTAAGTATTTTACACTTACCATTGCTTGCAATCTGGAAAACTTCTTTTAGAGTTAATATCTCTACAAAACAACGTACCACAATTTAAATGAGTTGTTATTAACATAACAGTCATATATTAAGGTTTCTCATGTAATGTTTAAGTACTGAGCAGTTGTAGTTAACACCTTGTACCACACTGAGTTACCAGCACAGGCACTATGGGACCAGCAAAGTTTGCTCCTACTTGGGGCCTGGGTGGCATTTCTGTGGCTGGCTGGCTCAAAAAAAATACTGTAATAATGTAAAGAGGAGCTTCTTTTCAAAAGTCTGTGAAAGATGTTATCAACACAAATGAGTCACCAGTCTAAGTTCTGGTTTGAGCTGGGGAAGTGAAGCACAGGATATGGGAAGTATCCAACCCCAGAACACATTGTGATTCCTCCTCCCTAAAATGAACCATGTTCTAGCTGATTATTTAGTCTCCCCGTGTCAGGGAACTGAAAGCAGCACAGTATCTTACACCTGTTCTGATCCTGACTGTGGTTTGTGTCATATTACAACATAAACAAGCAGAAAGCTGTGTTCAACTTTATGAGAAAGCATATACAAAAAAAAGCAGGGAAAAGCTGTACAGGAAATGCCTTTGAAGTCCAGAAGGAAGTATGGTGTCATTACACACTACACCAGCTGGTGGCAGAAAACTTCCAGTGGGAAAATCTATTCTGTGATTATTGCCTCAGGGATCCTGCTCAGTGAGGACTAACAGGGGATTTTTCCAGGTTCTGAGAAGCAATATTAGCCTTGGGATATTCATGATCCCTTGCTCAAAAAGCATAATCTGTTTAATCTATAATTTTGCAGCAAACTACTACCAAAGAAGTATTTTACGAGATTCATAAATAGTTAGAAGACTTATGGAAGTCTTGAAAGTTTTATTTCAATTTAGACTTAAGACATTCATATGTTAGGTATACCCACTCTTGAATGTTCCCAACAGGGATATTGAACTTATTCTGGTTTTAACTCTTATAATTTGTATTTAAAGTCCCTTTGCCATACAATCTATTCACTTCATCATCTTGAGTAAAATCTATCATAATCACACACATACATTATTTTAAACCAGGCAGAATAAGACACAACTGTTGCAAAAATCAGAAGTTAGAAGCACCTTATGCCTGCACACAAGAAGTCACCTGTATTACCAGCAGGGTTGAAGAACCATGTCACTAATTCTTAATATAGTAAGTACTACAACCTTGGCACTTTGCCCTTTGAGTTTAGTCCAGCAATTACACTGATGTCATGGTATTAAAATATACACTAGTATTTCCTGAAAATGCAAATTATCTGAAAATTATTCTTTCCTAATGTTTTTCAGTAGCTGCAAAATGGTCATCTTGGACAGAAGATAAGTGCTCCCATAACGTAAGTAATACTTTTATTGAAATAATAATAGTGTTAAGTTCTTCAACTGTAATGCTCTCATGAATAGAAATAACTTACTTTTTTTTTAAATGGGGAGATGCATACTTTGAGAGCTGAAAAAATAAGTGGCGTATTCTATTTAGTGAAACAAGAGCTATGGAGATTAAATGCTACATTTTATTGTTGCTGCTGTAGATAAAAAGCAATATTTGGTCAAGTGCTCTACCTTTTAGATCCCTTTCTTTAAACTGGGTAATAGGAAACATCATTGCATCTGCAAGCTGAGTTGAAAGTACTGCATGGCAAGAGCTGAGCTGAAAAAGAGAAGAAAAAGAATGAAATCTTAGGAAAACAGTGCTCAGACCAAATCCAGTCATGGTAGGTTGCCATCCATGTCACTCAAAAATGACATGTACTTAAACTACATCACTTAAACATCATTTTGCACATTCCTTTTTTGCAGCTAATTTTTTTTAGGTTCCAGATCTCACCACTAGTTATCTACAGAAGACTAAACTTTAGAGTTTAGTTTTTATCCAAACTTTTCAAACCTTATTCCAAGTTACTGGATCATGTCTAAAGATGGCCTCACATATTTAGTTTATTTCTCCAGTTTCTCTCCAGCCACCTCACAGCCTGTCTTTCACAGTTTACAGAGGTAGAACAAAATATGTTCCTCCTCCCAAAATGCTGTTTAAGTAGGGTTAAAAGTGAGGAGCTGGATCACAGCAAACATCCTGATTCAGCTCTTAATGGTGCTCAGTTGTCTGTCCTAAGAGTCAGCCTTTAATAGACAGCAGGAGGCTCCTGCTGTCTGTACCTAAAAATCAGTCAGGTACCAAAATCAGGCAATACAAATACCCTCATGAAAACAGTCACCAGCTGCCACTGTGCAATATTTTTGGCTGTATTTACAGTAAGTTGAACTCCATTCTTTCCCAACAATGTATCCTCTTTTTGCTGAATTAATTCTTTATCTTCAGGTTACATAACTTTAAATAGATGCTGCAATATACAATTAAGTGTTACCTTGTTGACAAATGAATGCCATTTCTGTACCTACTGTCTTAAAAAAGGCTGAAATAATGAAGCAAATTAAACTCTATACATGACAACATCAGCAAAGTAGATGGAAGCACTTGCCTCATCAATCACTTTTGCAAATTGCTGCAGAGTGGAAGTCATGACTTCATCATCTCCCCCCAGTGGGAAACGCTGAGAAAAGGTAAAAGAAGTTATGTTGTTGGCAGTGTTTCCTGCCATTCACAAAACCATTAATCATGTGTATGAATATATTAGGTATTCCATTATCTTAAAACATTATACAGTTAAAATACACTGAAGTTGTTCACCTCATTAGGTGCAGAAGGAGGATAGGGAGCAGAAGCCTCCTAAAAGAAGTAAATTTCTTGTTTTTAATGTGCATCTCAGAAAAGGGGGTCCATCAGCAAAGCCACAAATAGGGAATCCTTCAAAATACAGGCTCCCAAGGAAAAAAGTAATGGATTCCATAGTCTTTGCTTTCAGAGATGGAATTATTCTCCCAGAGTAAATTACTGTTGTTAACTGGAAAATGCTATGCAATCTCTTCTCTTTGTGATTAGTAAAATTAAACCACCTAACAGTAAACAGGTTTATAAAATAAAATCAAAGCAAAACCACCCTAAGCAACCCCCAAAAAACCGATCCAAAAGTAAAATATTTCAGAACTTATTAATATTCTTCATGTAAGAGGAATTAATTCCAGTTTAGTTGGAAGAACTAAAATAAAGATGGTAGATTCTTTTGGCAAAGGTTTGAACTACCAACCACAGCAATTCATTTTGTATGGACCAAACCTAAACACATTCTACATTGTGCTCTGGGAGATAAAAGACTACAGAAATACACAGTCCTGACCACATAAAGACAACAATGATTTACAAAGTACCTGTTTCTCATATTCCTTCAGAAGCTTTGAAGTCAGATGAGTTGCTGCACTTAATTCATTCTGATGAAGAAAAGGCAAAAAAGTAAAATCAGTATAAAAGTCAAGCAATTCAAGTATATACAAATTAAAAATACAGCCATAAACTCAATTGTTCAGAAAACCACACAAAATAGATTCTGTCTGGCATAAAAGTGCAGTTATTTAGAGACAATGAATGAAACATGAACATAATGTGGGCAAAAAAATCTCCCACTTGGTACATACTATTACATACACCAAGATCATTTAGTGTGTATAACATTTTAGAAACACTTGGGAAATACAACAGAACTACTTGACCAGAAAACCTTTTTGTCATAAGAAATTCTGTTGCAAAAGAAAGCACAAGAATTTAGTCTTTACCACACCCTTATAGAAAAACCATCATTAATCCTTACTTTGTTTTACTTCTACATTTAAAGAATGGGGAAGTTAAAAAACCCGTATTGCTTACAGTAATTTCAAAAAAAGAAAGAGACTTGAAACGTGGTTCAAAAGCTTTATAATGCATTCAAGAATTTCATGAACTCTACCTGTGCATCATATATTCTGTGCATGGCTTGAAATAACTGATTGATGTAATTGGATATTGCAGCAGCATCTTCTTCAAATACTCCCAGCAAAGAGCGGGTCTGTAACAATCAAACAGCCAAAATACCAACACAGCAAGTTAGAAAAGTAGCATTTAAATGTAATGGAATTTCAGAGTTAAGTAGCATTGCTTCAGGTTTCATTAATGAAAAGTTTATAAACCCTCCAACACTGTTTACAGGAATGATACCTGTTGCATGCCAAAGAATCTTATCCAAGCTCAGCCTCACTCCTACTGTCGGCCTCTCTCCAGGTTAATACATTTTCAGAAAGGAAAGGACCAAGGGAGATGAACAACTGTGTTAAAAAGTTGAAACTGTGGGCAACTACTGGAACCACTATGGTACATCCCTAAGGAAAAGGGTAAAGATGAGTGGTATTAAACAGCATGCCAGGAATACAGGTTCCTTCTGCAGTGAGATCCAAATAAAGGCTGTGGTTTTCCCATATTGTCCAACCTGCACGAAGACAGTTGCTGGCTGTGCTTGGACCTGTAATTCACCTGTGCAATAACCACCAATTCTGTGATCAAAAGGTTGAGGCACTAAACCCCACACCAAAGCAAACAGTACAACCTACATCTGGTTGTCCTCAAGACAAGTGTTTTCACCACTGAAAGGGAGTGAAAAGATCTGTCCTTTTGTCCTTATCTCAGCTTGTCAGTCTGTTTGTTCCTTAGCTGGTGTCACGCACAAGCCTGATGACTCTGTGTTCTACTGCACTGCCCACATCACTGATGAAGGTGCTTAACAGCATCCACCTCAAAAATCAACCTCACTGTCCACCTATTAGACTTCAAAACACTGATCTCTATCTGTGAGCCCACCTATTCAGGTCAGTCCAAACCTTGCCCTTTGGCCAGAACATTACCAGAGAGCGTGTCACAGTCCTTGTGCAAGCCAAGTGACACCCCCTGCTCTCCCTGTGCTGGAATGACTGACTTGGGATGAGCAGGCAATCAGGTCACTCAGGTATAATTTGCCCTTTAAGCTTAAATGAGATGCTGACTCGGTGTCCTTGCATCCTTTTTGCACTTGGAAGCAAAGTTACTCCTCAAGGATATTGAATGGCTTCCTTCCACCAAGACAGAAAGCCCAGAGGGGGAAGAGCAGAAGATGTTCCTGTAAGTCTGCACAGGCTCCACTGGCTTTTCCTATTCTAAAACATTGGTTGGGATGCTTGGATGTAGAAACAGGAGCATTGCTTGCAAGAGCCACAACAGAAACACTTTAGTAATGTTTTAGCAAAAGGACTGTGCTTTGGTTTTAGGTTTACACTGAAATTAATGCCCAGACAGAAGATTGAAAGAATCATAAGTACATAATTGGGGGTTTTCCCAAATTATGATTGTTAAACACTTGAAATTGGAAATTCTCTTAGTCTTCCCTAGGCTGAATAACTGTGGTTTCCTCAAAGAGGAGGGGAAGGCACTAATGGGGCCTGGGAAAAGAATAAAAGACTGGCAGACTTTAATGTTGGTTCTACCTTATAAAACAAGTGGAAAGGGGAGATAGAGGAGGAAAGAGGTGGAGAAGAACTCAAATCTTTGCCAGGTGTGGCAACATGTGTCATCCTAACAGCTGTGACTCTCCCATTAAAGGAGACAGACACGAAAGAATGCAAAAGAAAAAATTACATGGTACTGTAACCACTGAATTATATATTCATGACCTTTAAGCCTGACCACAAATAAACCTGAACTTGTAATTTTAAAGTAGTATCATGTAAGGTTTCTGGATTAACTTACTCTTTAAAACCAAACACTGAAGAAAAATGCTTTCCTGTTTTTTATGTTAAAAAACTGGCATTGTATGCTACTGATAGAAAGAAATTAACCTGAAACTATAAACAAATTATGGCAGACTATTGCTTAGCAGAAAATTAGAGGAATTGTTCACTCATGTTTTTAGTAAAACTTTGCCTCATTTTGCATGTTCTTTAGGATGCTTTCAACCTGTGTATATGAGCAGGGAAACAGAAAAGCACCAGCAAGAAGCTGCACAAAGAAACAACTTGGTTAGAAGTCAGTGAACTGTGAAGGCTTCTATGCCATGCAATGTACTACTCATAGGTGATACTGCAAGAGCCTGTGCTATCCAATCTCTTGGCTTTTTTGTTGTGCAATGCTTTGGGAATGCAAATTAGTCTGAGCAGAAACTCTCCCTAAATATACACTGAGTGTGTAATATATGTCCTGAGTTCCGACTTAAATTGCTCTGCTTTGCATAGCAAAAGACTGTGTAAACTTGGCATTTGGCTTAGGCCTGACAACACAGTGGTTAGATTTTTATCCTGTGACAACAGGAAGTGAAAGGGGTTTGAAATTTTAGAAAAGGCCTTCTTTCCCTCAGACACAGAATAAGTTTGATGTTTATATACCTACAGTTGGTAGGAATCTGTCTAAGCTCCGGGCCATAGTTCAGCACTAAACAATGACCTGGGCTGATGAGCTTTTTCATTATCACAGTAGGAATGCATCAGTCATGGCAACTCCTCAAGAGGAGAGTTCTGCTTTCTTCAAGCAACATTTGTTGTCATTTCCATTGCACTGATTTCAAAGTAAGAGAAATTAAGTAATGTAACAGAAATGGACTAATGTAACAAAAAGCTACAGAATCCTTGCTATGTTCTTCTAAGACATGGTTGCCAGAATTCACCTAAAATAGAAAATTATACTGGCAAATCCAATTGTTTAAGCACAACAAACTCATTGGGTTGAATTAGACTTTGCTAGTCTGTGTCACAAATAACCTCAAAAGACTCTAGAATTTACAATTATGTTCCAATAAGAAACCTTTTTTGCACATGCTTCCCAAACGTCCTCAGATGATCCTAAGTTTATCTTACATTTGGCATTTCCTATAAATATGAATAGTTCTGACTTCCTTATACTGAGAACAGACCTTCAAGAGATAATTTTTTTTTTAATCACTATTGTTGTAACACTTTCAAAAATTTTTCCTCTTCATGAGATGACACCACGTTTAGCCAGAGGCCCCATGACAGGCCAGATCTCATCTCACGTGTGGTATCTGAGCTATTTGGGGCACTACTGTTCAGAAAGCAACGATTCCCTTTCTGCATGGCCTTCTAGTGCCTTCTCTAAGTCGTTCCTCCCCTTGGTTTAGAATTGTTAAAGTGACTGTCATTTTAGAAAGTTAAAATTCCCTATTAAGCAAGTGAAAGTTTTTCTTCCTATGGCCAAGGAATCAAAGCTACCAGCACAGATGCTGTTACAACACAGGACGTCTTGCTCACTATGTAAACTGTGCATCAGAGCAAGGATCTTAATTTAAAAGGCTGCAATAAAGGAAAACACACTGTAAACTTTTTTTTCCCCACATCTAAGAAGAGCACTACAAGTATTTGCTGTTGTTGCTGCCAGCGAGAGAAACCCGTGCAATGGAATAAAGCCTTTCCTGCTTTAGAGAGAAATGCCACCGCACTACGGGGCATCTCTGACAAAGGTCAGGCACAGCAATGGCACGGAAGGATCGGGGCAATTAAAGGCCTTTGGGCTCCATGTGCTTCCCCCCTACTGTCAGCACAAACCGCCGCGACCCAACACCTCCTTTTCGCACGGATCTATTAAACCTTAACGCGGTTTTAGCGAAAGATAAGGATAACACAAATCGCTTTGAGAAGCGAAGACGGGATTTTGTCATCACGAGGTGTCCAAAATCACTGCCGAGCGCGAAGGCGGGGGCGGGGAGGTCCGGGGGCCGGCGCGGGCTGTGCCCTGCCCGCGATGCTGAAGCACACGCAGTGCCCGGTCCATCACCGGCCCATCACCGGCCCATCGCCCCCCGGCCCCCCGGACACTAGCGGGGACGGCCGGGACGGGCAGGACGAGCCCAGACCGCGGCCGCAGCCCCTGCGCGGGGCGGGAGCACGGGGAGGCACCGGCCGTGCGGGAGCGCTCCTGCCGCGCCGCCGGGAGCGCCCCCGCGCCCGTCTGTCCGTCTGTCCGTCCGTCCGTCCGTCCGTCCGGGGCTCGCCGGGGGCGGCAGCGCCGGGGGAGCAGCGCTGGGCCCGGGGCGCAGGGGCAGGGCCCGATCCGGCCCCCGCCGCGACCGTCTCACCTGCGGGCTGTCCTCCAGCGTCTCCTCGATGGGCAGTTTGTCGATGCCGGGCATGGCGGCGGCCGGGCCGGGCCGAGGCTCCGCTCCCGCAGCAGCTCCTCTCCCCCCGCGGGCCCGCCCGGACCCGCCACGGCACCGCCACCCCCGCCCCGCGCGCCGGACGTCCCGCCCCCCGCCCTTCCCATTGGTCCTTCCGCCCGGCCTGCCCGCTCCTTATTGGCGGGCGGGCCCGTCTGTCTGTCCGCCCTCGCGCGGGGCCGTCCCGCAGCTCCCGCCCTCGCACTCGGCCCCTCAGGGCTGAAGCTGCGGGGGGTCCCGGGAGCGGCTCCGGGGGAGCGGAGGGAAGTGGAGCGGGGGCAGCCGGGGACGTGTCCCAGCTGAGGTGACCGCCCAGCCGTGCGGGTCAGGGCGCCAAGCGACTTGTGTGCAGTCCGGGGGCTGCTGCTCTCTCCTCACGGACGACCGCCTCGGGGGCCAACCCACAGCGCGGTGACGCCGTTGTGCCCCTGCCGTGATGGAGCAGCTTTGGCACTCTTTCCACGTCGCCTCTGGGAAGTCTCCTCTTATCCCTGCCGTGTGGGTGGGTCCCAGGTGCGGGCCGGTCTCTCGTACCGTGCCTGCGGTGAGAGGACCAGAGGAAAGGGCATTAAACTGAGACGAGGGAGATTCAGATTAGATACTAGAAAAAAAATTTCACTGTAGTGGTGCTGGGCTGGTTTGGATTGGATGCTCTTAAAGGTCTCTTCAAACCTTGGTGATTTGATGATTCTGTATATCTCTCCACCACTTGAAGAAGTATTTCTATCCCTATCAAGCTAGTTTTTTGTTACAAAGTGCTGAGGACTTGTTCCTGGTTGTGTCTTAAAAAACCCCATTGCTGACCACCAAATTTTCCCCTTCAGAAGCAAGAGTTCAGTTCTGGCGGGCTCCCTGCTCTCTTAGACTGGATAAGTTTGGTGCTATAGGTTGGAGGCCAATTTTAAATGCTTAAAAACTATTGTGAGGGCTCGCTGGAGTTGAACCAGATCATTGTTTGAACTCACAAACTGGTTCAACTCTGAAATTACTTAAAGTCACAGAACTGTAGAATTGCTAAGGTTGGGAAAGACTTCTAAGACAAAGTTCAACCATGAACCAGGACCACTGTGTTCACCACCAAACCACGGTCCCAGTTGCCACATCCACACACCTTTTGAACACTTCCAGGGATGGTGATTCCACCACTTCCCTGGGCAGCCTGTGCCACGGCCTGACCGCCTTTTCCAAGAAGAAATTTTTCCAATATCCAACCTAAACTTCCCCTGCACAGCTTGAGGCCGTTTCCTCTTGGCCTATTGCTTGTTACCTGGGAGAAGAGCCCAGCTCCCACCTGGCTACAACCCCCTTTCAGGTAGTTAGAGAGCAAGACTCAACAGACTTGATGATAATTTTTAGATATATTCATTATTACAGCTGGGAAAAAAAAAAAAAAAGAAAAAAGAGGCTGTTTCCTTGATGGTTTTGCCTTTTTGGGACCAGGTGAACTTAGTATAAAACCAGGTTAGAAAGTGCATTAAGTGCTTTCAACAGAGCAAATGATTAACAATTGTTTAGTTCTGCTAGGAGACGTTTCTTTATGTTGTACCAGATTGTGGTTTACCTTTAAAAGCAGATAAAGTCTGGTGTTAAATTACAAACAACTAAAGATTTTTGAGGTAAGTTTTTTGTTTGGGTTTTTTTGGTGGGGGGTGTTTTGGTTTGGGGTTTTTTTGTTTGTTTGTTTTCCTGTAGGGAGTGGTGAAGAAATTTCCAAGTTAGTACCTTGTTCAGTCAATTCATTTACCAGCTCAGCTGTGACTCACCTGACCGAAGCAAGTCACGCTACTTCTCTCTTTCCTTGTCATATGAGGATAATAATTCAGAGTTATCTTACAAGGTATTATGAAAACTAAGTCTTGTATCTGTAATTATGTGACAGAGCATTGGCTCATGACCTGCTTTCTGGTGTTGAGATCAGTTAACTTGTACCTAAGTTTTACAGCAGTCTCCTGTAAGAAATGCCTCTGTTTTGTGCTGTAAGATGCATTTCCCCAGCAGAATTCGGGAAGGTAATAACTTTAAATGGAATTGAGTTTAGTTAGCTTTGTATATTTGCAGCTGTAAGTGGCAGAGAAAAAAAACCAAAACATTTCTTAGCTACTATCAGTAGAGAACAGCTCCTTGAGAATTAAATGTTTTGTGGAAGAGAAAACAATATCCTAACAAACATGCCCTTTAATATGCAGTAATGTGCTTTATTATCCCTGCTGGCATGTACCATAGAAACGTGTCTTGTTTCTGTTGCTCTTAGTAATTCAGTTTAATGATTTGGTTTAGTGGGTGGCCTTTCTAATAATTCTGTAGTGTACCAGGGCTTCTCAGCTTTTTTAATATGTCCTTTATGCTGACACATTCTGTGTGTTACTTGTTACTTTTCTTGTTCTTACCTTTTGTGCATGTTTTTCCAAATGATACAAGGTATCCAAAAGTTTTATTTGAGCTATGAATTTGACAGCAACAGATGAGATTTGATAGTAATGAAATGAAGAATCCCTCTGAACCCTTTAATAAGTACATTTTTAGTGTTACACTGCTTTCAGCATTTTAGGCTTTTTCTTATCATGTGATTTATTTTTTGACTTGGGTTTTCTGATTTGTGGGACTGACGGGGGTTTTTTGTCCTTTCTGCAAAATATTTACTAAGAGGCCTTAAAAATGAGAGGAACTAACACTTGGTACTATATAAACAGGAAGAAAAGCAGCCAACAGCTCTTTAGAGTATTCCAGATGTGTGCCCTAATGGAGAGAACATTTTGCCTCTGCTGGAGGGTGAAAGGAGCTGTGTTAAGGTAGGCTTTAATTGCATGTTTCTCGCTGTTTAACACACTGTTTCTCAGACTTTTGCTCGTGGCACCCTTGGATTTACCTTGAATTTATCTGTCTTCACTTAATCTCCTTGGGTCAAAACAGCTTTTTGGCTTCAGCCAAAAAAATAGCTACTTCTTTTTGGTCATGTTTTGTTAAAATTGGGGTTACCATTTTTGCTTAAAAAAAGCCTTTGACTTATGAAGCTGATGTAGAATATAGTGTGTGTTCATCATGTTCAAAACGTATCTGAAAGGGAGCTTTACACAGAACAACTTCTGAGGTGGTAAAACATCCATGCAGTGGGTTAAAGAAGCTGTGGGAAAGGTGAGATGAAAGGCAAATGTTTGGAGTGTGACAAGTAATCAAGAAAGATTATATATACCATTTATACCTTTTCATAAAGCTGAAAATGTTGTCCAGTGAAAGGTGACCCGGCAGCTGAGTAGCAATGGGGGAGAAGAGCAAAAGGCAGCAAGAGCAAGGGTTGGGGTTTCAGCCCAAAGCCCCCAAGAGCTCTCGGTGTGGTCTCTTGAGCTGCTATAAACAGCCCTTAGAGGCTTCACATCTCTAAAGAACAAGAGCTTCATCTACTAAATGGATGAACTCCACTGTCCCTGGGCAAAAAACAGTGGTGCAAAGTCTGAAAGGGAGATTAGTTTGCTGCCTCATCAAGAATGTGATGCTGTAAGAGGATTGGATTTGCATATCCAAGGAGCAGTGAGTTCTCCTATAATTGATTAGTTAGGATTCTCAACTTAATGTTTGTTGTGTTGCTCTAATTGCCACTACAGAGGTATTTAGCTAAAGGTCTATAGGTAATTTCACATAGGTTGCAAGGCAAGTATTGATAATCTCTAATGGGCCAAAATAACAAAATGCAGTTTTGAAGTGAAGGCTCAAGGTCCATTTACAGTTAGAGTAGGAATTCCTAGAAATTTGATCTGTAATACCAGGTATTCCTGAATCTCAAACTTGAAGTATTCTGTCCTGTGGAAAGTGTATCTTCATCCTAATTTCTTACAGAAAGTTCTGTTGACTGTTTATCTTGATGACAAATAGTTTTACTCTATAGCTCAGCAAACTTCTCTTCAAAGAAACCCAGCAACTTTTGAATAAGAGACCTGCAGCCAGACTTTCCAGTCTTTCATCTCTACGTATATGTTGTTTAAGAATCATAGAATGGGTTGGGTTGGGAGGGCCCTTTAGAGATCATCCAGTTCCAGTGCCCCTTTGGGACTTTTTTCACTCAATAAGGTCACTCGAAGCCCCATCCAATCTCATCTTGGACACTTGAAGGGATATAATGGAATTTTGGTATAATGCAGGCTTCTTATCTCTAGAATAATTTGTCTTTTCATGTGACTTTTTTATAAACTTCTGCTCCTATATGCACTTGCAATCATGAACTCTGTTTAAAAACAAGAGTGTTGAGATGTTTGTGACTGCACTGTGGTCTCCAGCTCTGATTCAATTCAACATTGAGCAATGAATATAACATGATTAATTTAAAGATAACATGGTTTCTTACTCCTATGACATTGCTGAAGGAATTTAACAGCTGGGAAGCCCAAACACTGGATGGCAGTGTTGGGTGATGTCCTGGCCTGTGCCAAGTGAATGAGTTAACTGGCTTTGACCTATTTTATGGAAATTCATTTTGAGAGCTACTAAGATCTCTTTCCCTTGAAAATTCATTAAAAAGCTCTGAAAGAATGTTTCCAGCTGGGAGTTAAAAGCAGACTATCCTGAAGGATGGGTTTTTTTCCATCTTCCACAATCACAGAGAGACCAGAAATAACTTATAAAAACTGGGTTAGCTTTGGGAAGGTGTGTGGAAGATATGAGCTTCTCATAGATGTCTCTCTGACCACCACACATCCTTGTCTTTATTGATAGCTCTTGGTAGCTTCCTGAAGGGAACACCTGTGGGGGTATTTATGTCTTTGGGACGTGAAGGTGTGGTAATCTGAGTCTCAGCTGTGTGGCTCACGTTGATTTCATTCATATTTATCCAGGAGAAATCAATATTTTTTACATCTGTTTTGTGTCACTGTGTTGGTTTTTTAAGTTGTTTAAGACAAATAGTGGGCTGTGTTTGAAAGCTAGCTTTTTGTATTATAATCATTCAGAGGGGTTTTTGTATTATTGTTATTACCCACTGCTTTCTGGGTTGAAGAGTGTCTCTCTCTATTGGTGATCATGCTTGTTACCTCTTTGGGACAGAGAAACCTGTAAGC